AACTGGTTTATCACTCCGATTTGTCCATTTGTCTGAAGTGGTGTAGGGTTTCCTGCCTGAGCAGGGAGGGGTTGGACTAGAAGACCTCCAAGGTCCCTTCCAACTCGGTTATTCTATTTTATTCTATTTATCAAGGCTCGGGTGAAAAGCTTTGGGCTCACTGATTTCCTTCTCAGGAGGTTGCTTAAACTGCTCCGTTTTTTGACCAAGGGCAGAATTTGTCCCAACAAAGAGATTTGAGTTGGTTGAACTCTGCTTAGCTCAGTTCCAGGTTGAAGGTAGCCGTGAACTTGACCTGTTGGATTCATTTATGGTCAACTGGCCGCTTCTGCAGCCCAGAGAAGGTAGATTCACATACTGTAGCAACCAGTTTGCCCCAGAAATGTGAGCGCGCCAGGGGTGGGTTTTAATTTTTTTTACTACCGCTTCTGTGGGCGTGGCTTATTTTGTGGGCGTGGTTTGATGGTCATGTGACAAACAATTCTTTAGGATTGAGCAGAGGTTCTGGTCTACCAGGCTTTTAACTGCTTGCAGAGCCGTACCGGTCTATCTATTTGTTCTTGGAGCGCCCTGGTCTACCACCACACGGCCATTTACCGCTGATCAGCTGTAGGGCGGCCCTTTGAAGCACCGCGGCAAGAGTTTAAACAGTTTTTTGCCGCTCTGCCACCACCGAGAGCATCGGAAACTGCTTGCAGGCAGTTTAGCCTCAATTGCCAATCTACCACCACCGAGCGGTTTCCAAGGAGCGGATCGGTTCTAGCCGATCGGTTGAGAGGCTTCTTGGCTTCTCAATTTAAAGCTACAGTGTCTTGTTTTGTTTTTTTCTTTTCTTTGTCAAGTGAGCCCTGATTTTTTCCTTCTAGCCGATCAGCTGGGACTCGGGAGGCAGCGAATAGATTGGGGGCAGGGCCAGGCAGAGGTGGTATTTACCGGTTCTCCGAACTACTCAAAAATTTCCACTACCGGTTCGCAAGAACCGGGGAGAACCGGTAGCAACCCACCACTGGAGCACACGCACCATCCGTGCATGTGTGCAACATCAAACAACACGGCAATTCATTCTCTTGTGCCATCTGCACATGCGTGCAGGGTCAAAAACACAGCAATATAGGACGGGATTGTGCCCAGGCAGATGGGCAGGCCCACCCACAAGTCGCTACTACCGATTTGCCCGAACTGGTTGAATCCCACCTCTGGTATTCAGGCATTAGAGCAGGACATGGATCGTAAGCAGTAGATGTAGGACCACATCTGTCCCTTCGCTACCACTTTATAAGGCCTTGGTAAGGCCACACCTGGAATACGGCATCCAGTTTGGGTCACCACAATATAAAGAATGTTGAGACTCTGGAAAGGGTGCAGAGTGGAGCAACCAAGAGGATTAAAGGCCCGGAGGCCAACAATTATGAAGAACGGTTGCAGGAACTGGGAATCTAAGAAAGATAAAGTCTAGGGTTGACATGTTAGTAGTCTTCCAATATTTGACGGGCTGCCACAAAGAGGAGGGGTCAATTTATTTTCCAAAGCACCTGAAGGCAGGAGAAGAAGCAACGGATGGAAACTGATCAAGGAGAGGCTTGTAGGGACTTCATCACTGGAGGCTTTCAAGAAGAGACTGGACAGCCACCTATCTGAAATGGTATAGAGTCTCCTGCTTCAACAGGGGGTTGGACTAGAGGACCTCCAGGGTCCCTTCCAGATCTATTCAAGTCATTGAGGGGAGTCAACTTATTTTCCAAAGCACCAGAAGGCAGGAGAAGAAGCAACGGATGGAAACTGATCAAGGAGAGAGACAACCTAGAAGTAAGGAGGAATTTCCTAGAAGTGAGGACAATCAGCCAGTAGAACAACTGATCTTCAGAAGTTGTGGGTGCTCCATCACTGGAAGTTTTTAAGAAGAGGCTGGACAGCCATTTGTCTGAAACAGCACTATAAAGTTTCCTGCTTGAGCAACGGGTTGGGCTAGAAGGCCTCTAAGATCCCTTCCAACTCTATTTTACTGTTAGTCTAAGAAAGAGAAAGACTTGGGGTGACATGAGAGCAGTGTTCCAATATCTCCGGGGCTGCCCCAAAGAAGAGGAGGGTCAACCTCTTCTCCAAAGCACCTGAAGGCAGGAGAAGAAGCAACGGATGGAAACTAACTAAGGAGAGAAGCAACCTGGAATTAAGGAGAAACTTCCTGACAGTGAGAGAACAATCAATCAGTGGAACTCCCTCCAGAGGTTGTGGATGCTCCATCATTGGAGGTCTTCAAGAAGAGATTGGACAACTGTTTGTCTGGAATGGTAGAGGGTCTCCTGCTTGAGCCCCAAAGTCCCAACCAACTCTGGGACGAGAGATGGGGGGTGGAAGGCAGGTTGTCTTTCAACAGACGACCTTAAGGACCCGACAGATCCATCTCGATATTCAAGTTGCGTGAGGATTCAGCCTGCTGGAGAAGACCGTTCCCAGGAGAAAGCATTTTCTCACCAAGCTGGAAATGTTAGAAAGGAGGTTGGGATTCTTCTGAGGAAGTGATCCGACGGGTTTCCCTTGGCAACAAGTCAGGATCTGATCCACCCACCTTTTCAGAGCCATTTTCTCTTCTTCAGCCAGGAATCCTGGCATCCGCCTGGTCGTGCCACCCAACAGAGATGGATGGGCAGGGAAGGCCGGAGGTTTGGGGTGGCAAATGAAGGCGTGCAACCCTTCTGGCAGGGATCTGCGAAGGTCGAGGAAAGAGGGAAGGTTGGAAGGAGCCAGGTTCCTGCTGACTTCAGAAGGGTTCGATCAAACCGTCTTTATGGGGCTCCTGGGGGCTCCCTGAGCTTGGTGGTTTTCTTGCAGATGTTCATTACCAAACTACGTAACATCAGCAGTGCTAGAAAGGAGTGGGGTTTGTGGAGAGGAGGAGGAGGAGGAGGAGGAGGAGGAGGAGGAGGACTGAGAGGTCCTTGGTGCGCTCTGAGCTTGGTGGTTTTCTTGCAGACGTTTCATGACCCAACTAGGGAACATCATCAGTGCTAGAAGGGAATGGAGTTTGTTCTTTGTTTATATACAGCAGCTTCCCCCATCAGGGTTGGTGAAGATGTAGTTTTCTCCTTGGCATTTCCTTATTAGGGTATTGTTTTCTGCTTGATTGTTTGTCTGGTGTTAATCCCTGCTTATTCACTGAAGAGGTTACCCAGTTGGGTTATGAAACCCAACTGCAAGAAAACAACCCACCTCAGAGAGCACCAAGGACCCCACAGTCATTGTCCTCCTCCTCCTCCTCCTCCTCCTCCTCCTCCTCTTGCCCTGCTCCTTCTTTTCACCTCCTCAAACTGCACTAGTACTGATGATGTTACCTGATGTTATTGCTTAACGCATTGTAAGCTGCCCTGAGTCTCCAGAGAAGGGCGGCATATAAATCAAATTAAAAAAAAAAATCCAGCTCAGAGATCACCAAGGACCCCACAGTCTTCCTCCTCCTCCTCCTCCTCCTTTCCTCCACAAACCTCACTCCCTTCTAACATTGATGATGTTCCCTAGTTGGGTCACAAAACTTCTGCAAGAAAACCACCACGCTCAGAGAGCACTAAGGACCCTACAGTTCAACCCTGAGCTACTAAACCACCTTCCTCAGCAGAGGCCTACGGAGACTTGTTCAAGAGAGGGGCACCCCCCAGATCCAAGTTGTGGCCGGAACTGGGGAAGTGCAAGCGTTCAAGGCAAGCTTGACCTCTTCTGGCTACGGACCTGAACTTCTCCAGCTGGCATTTTGGGCCGGAGAACCTCTGGAGAACCTCCCCAAAGGTGCCACCCTCCAAAAGCGAGCTTCCCAGCTGCCTTGCTCCCCAGATCCTTCCCTTCTCCCCTCCCCTTTGGGATAAAGGCAGCTGGGCCTCCCCCAATGTGCTGCTTTCCCAGTAGCTGGGCGCTGCTCCAGTTGCCCAATCCTTCTGGGTCCCGCCCTGCCCAGGGTGGGGCGGCGTGTGGGATAAACTGGATTCCTGCAGCGCTGGGGAGTCTACCTCCCAGGGATAGATTTAATAATCCGTTGCCTTCCATCGCAAAGCCGCGCATTGTAAATAAATCTTTCATCCTGGCAAGGCGTGGTGGTGGTGGTGGAACATTCGCAGGTTTCCCAACCCCTGCGTGGCTAAGGTTGCTTTCCCTATCCTGGACCTGCAGGGCCCAGGGAGGGGCCACTCCGCCTGGGGGGTGAGGGGTGGGGAGGGGGCTCCCTTCGCCAGTAGACCCAGGTCCTCTGATGCTCTCCCAGATGTAGCAAAAGTTCCCCCCTCCCCACTCGCCCATCACCTCCTCCTCCTCCTCCCTGCAGAAGGAACCTGCCCTGCCTGTCATCACAGGTATAGGAACTGTCACAACAGCACCTCCTGCTGGTGACCAGAGGAACAATGCACCCCAAGCACTGAAGGACCCTTTTGGGGGGGTGGTTCAATTAACTCTAAGGCAGGTTGAAGGGCTCGCCCCCACCCCCACCCCACCCCCGAGGAGATGTCTGGATCAGAAAATGCACGGAGTAACTACAGGCAGTCCTCGATTTACGCCCACGGACCCGTTTAACAACATTTTCTGTTGCTAAACGGGACAGTTAAACAGCTGTTTTCCTGTTGCTAAACGGGACCGTTCTGGAGGGAGTTTTGTCCCATTTTATGACCTTTCCTGCCACCGTTGCAAAGTGAAATGCTGCAGTTCTCAAGGTAGTAACCCGGTTGTTAAGTGAATCCGGCTTCCCTCCTTGGCTTTGCTGATCAGAAGGTCGCAAAAGGGGACATCACGACCATCATAAGTTTGAGTCGCTTGCCAAGCATCTTGAGTTTTGATCCCGTTTCCGTGAAGCTGCTGCCACGGTCATAAGTGTGAAAAACGGTCATATAAGTCACGTTTTTCAGTGCTGTTGTGACTTCGGATGGTCACTAAATGAGCTGTTGTAAGTTGAGGACTAACTGTGCTCATTGGATAAGAAGCAAGAGGAGAACATAACGGAGAAGAAGTAAAACACAAGAGGCCGGTTAGTTTTCTGAGTTTAATTTCTTCCTCCTGCCCTCAGACAAAGTTTGGTGGTTACCATCAAATCCCCCTCCGTTTCCTTTCTATGCAATGGCCCAAATCCAGTTTATTTTATTTATTTAAAAGATTTACCCTTCTTTCAGCCCACTCTGCTGTTCCAAAGTCCAAAGGCTTCTTCTCTTTTCAAAAGCTGGGGGGAAAAAAATCAAGAATGTGCATTTCCAGCAGATTTGCACCCGAGACCGGTTCGGCGTAGAGGAGCAGGAAGGAGCCTTAATCAGGAGTACAGAAATGTGGGGGTGTCTGAGCTGGGTTGCTTTCTTGTAGACCCAACTAGGTAACATCATCAGTGCTAGAAGGGAGTGGGGTTCGGTCCTTGTTTACTTAACCTCACTCCCTTCCGGCACTGATGATGTTCCCTAGTTGGGTCATGAAACGTCTGCAAGAAAACATCCAAGCTCAGATAGCACCCAGTCCTCCTCCTCCTCCTTCCTTCCAGCCTTGACGATATTCCCTAGTTGGGTCATGAAATGCCTGCAGGAAAACCACCAAACTCAGAGAGCACCAAGGACCCCACAGCCCTGCTCCTCCTCCTCCTCCCTCCCTAACTCTTCCTCCTCTTCCTCCTCCTCCATTTTATGTTCCAAGACCAGGGGTCCCCAAATTTGGCAGAATTCTCCAGCCAGCTATGCTATGCTGGCTGGAGAATTCTGGGAGTTGAAGTCCACAAGTCTTAAAGCTGCCAAGTTTGAAGACCTCTGTCCTAGACAGTGTTTCCTAACCTTGGCATCTTTTAAGATGTGTGGACTTCAACTCCCAGAATTCTGGGACTTGAAGTCCATACATCTTAAAGTTCCCAAGGCTGAGAAACCCCGATTTAGCAAATTAGCTAGTTGTATGTATGGGCAGCATTGTTAGATTGGGCACAAGATGATGGGCATACGATAGATGAGTGCCAACCACCTTCCTCCTTCTTCCAGATGGAAGGCCCTTGGGAAATACGGTAAAGCCACAATTTCATTTCTCCATCTTATGCTTGAAGGAGGTTAGACAGCTCTTTTCATTTGCCGTTCCCAATCTTGGCAATTTCCCTCCAGCTTCGGAGTGGGACAACCACCATCCAATAACTACTGGAATGGTTGCCAACAATGATGGACTTCTGGAAAACTCAAGCAGGTTTTTTGAGTTGGGAGAAGAGAGCCAACGGATCAACTGCCCTGCGGATTCAATCAATCAATCAGAATAGAGCTGGAAGGGCCCTTGGAGGTCTTCTAGTCCAACCCCCTGCTGAAACAGGAGACCCTACATCATTCCAGACAAGGAGCTGCCCAGTCTCTTCTTAAAAACCTCCAGTGATGGAGCACCCACAACTTCTGGTGGCAAGCTGTTCCACTGGTTAATTGTCCTCATTGTCAGGAAGTTTCTCCTTAATTCCAGGTTGCTTCTCTCTATGACTTCAATCAGAATAGAGCTGGAAGGGACCTTGGAGGTCTTCTAGTCCAACCCCCTCCTCAAGCAGGAGGCCCTGCCTCATTCCAGACAAGTGGCTGTCCAGTCTTTGGAAACTAATCAAGGAGAGAAGCAACCTGGAACTAAGGAGAACCTTCCTAACTGTAAGGACAATTAACCAGTGGAACAACTTGCCACCAGAAGTTGTGGGTGTTCCCATCACTGGAAGTTTTTAAGAAGAGTCTGGACAGTCACCTATCTGCTTGAGCAAAGGGCTGGACTAGAAGACCTCCAAGGTTCCTTCCGGCTCATTCATTCATTCACATTGGCCTCCTCGGGCTCTCGCTTAGCAAGCTCCAGAAAGTTCTGGAGAATTTCATGGAGGAGGAGATGGAAGAGGTAAACCAAGGGACCGTCTAAAGAAGGGTCCCACTGCCCGTTTCCCCCCGTCTTTAAATTATTACCAAGGCTTTGTACAAAAATAAAGGGTTCTCATAAGATTTACAACCAATATTATTAAATAAATATTTGGGGTAGAGAGTCCTTTGCTTGGTTCATAGTTCATCCTTGGGGTTGATGCCCAGATCGGTGGGACCGAAGCGTTGCTGGTCTAACAAGGCGATGATCTTGTCGGCATGGATTCGCTCCTGAAGGGAAAAAGAGAAGGGACAAGGGGTGAAGGCTGACCCAAGGAGGGAAGGGCAGCCCCACCGTCCTCAATCCGGTCGGGAAAGACCATTTCTTATTCGTTAAAATTTATTTTTCACTGTGGGGTTACTATCTAGGCAGTTTACAATAATAAAAAAAAGGGGGGGAAATGAACAGAGTGTAAGAGATTAACAGATTTGGAAGGGACCTTGGAGGTCATCTAGTCCAACCCCCAACCCAAGCAGGAGACCCTACACCATTTCTGACCGATGGCAGCCCAGTCTCTTCTTGAAAGCCTCCAGGGATGAAGCTCCCACAACTTCTGAAGGCAGCTTCTGTTCCATGGGTTGATTGTTCTCACTGTCAGGAAATTCCTCCTTATTTCCAGGCTGAATCTCTCCTTGATCAGTTTCCATCCATTATTCCTTGTCTGGCCTTTGGGTGCTTTGGAGAATAGCTTGACCCCCTCCCTCCTCTCTGGGGCAGCCTCTCAAATATTGGAAGATGCTCTCCTGTCTCCCCTGGTCCTTCTCTTCAGTAGACTAGCCAGGTCCAGTTCCTGCAACCGTTCTTCCTATGTTTTAGCCTCCAGTCCCCTAAATCATCTCTGTTGCTCTTCTCTGCACTCTTTCCAGAGTCTCAACATCTTTTTTATAGTGTGATGACCAAAACTGGATGCAGGACTCTAGGTGTGGCCTTACTAGGGCTTTATAGAGTGGTCTTAGTACCTCCTTTGATCTTGATTGTTTCCCTCTGTTAATGAAATTTAGGTTTGCATTGGCTTTTTTGGCTGCCGCTGCACACTCTTCACTCATATTTAACTGGTTGTCCACTAAGACTCCAAGATCCCTGTCACAGTCACTGCTGTGGTAGTGGACTAAACAGGACAGAAGTAAAATAATAAGAGCAATAAAATACAGGTATCTCTATTTCTCAAGGAAATCTGCATTAGTTATAATTAAATTAGGATATTACAAATTAGTTATAATTACATTAGCGTAGTGTGATGCAGTCCTGGAGCCGAGGAACCCCCCCCCCCCCACTGCCTTATGATCCTTTTAGTCTTCTGAATTTTGGTTTTTATTTTTACTCGGAGGTTTTAAACTTGTTCTTCCTTCCATTTCTAATCTCTGCTTTCCCCAAGGGTGCTTTTTTTTTCAACTGGACTTTCTGGATTTTTCTTTGAAGATGTTTCGCTTCTCCTTCAAAAAGCTTCTTCAGCTCTGACCGGATGGTGGGGAAGGGAAGGATTGATACTCCTTGCAGACACGGCTGGTCATTTGCATCAGGGGTGAAATCCAACATTTTTCCCTATCGGTTCTGTGGGCGTGGCTTGGTGGGCCTGGCAGGGGAAGGATATTGCAAAACCTCCATTCCCACCCCACTCTGGGGCCACCTGAGGGGTGCAAATGGTTCCCGTGGTCTGCAATTTTTCCTCTGGGAATCCATTCCTCCTCCCACCCCATTCCAAGGGGGCTCATCCCACATTGCGTAGCTAAAGGTCTGTAGAGATTCTCAGCCATCCAGGTCCCGAAGGTGCTTTTCTTTCAAGAGGCAACTGGACTCTCTTGTTTTCTCTGAAGACCTTTCGCTTCTCATCCAGGAGGCTTCTTCAGCTCTGACTGGATGGTTGGGGAAAAAACCCCAGAAAGAGGCCTCTTCAAAAAAAAAGCACTTTTGGGACAACCATGACTTGGATGGCTGGAGATCTTCAGAGACTGATCTTTGCTTGCTTGCTTGCTTGCTTCCTTCCTTCCTTCCTTCCTTCCTTCCTTCCTTCCTTCCTTCCTTCCTTCCTTCCTTCCTTCCTTCCTTCCTTCCTTCCTTTCTTCTTTCTTTCTTCTTTCTTTCCCTCTTTCTTCCTTCTTTTCTTCTTCCTTCCTTCCTTCCTTCCTTCCTTCCTTCCTTCCTTCTTGGATTTTCATACTTTTGTATATACCTGCTTAGTAGGGCTTTCGGACCCCCCTAAGCGGTGTTCTTTTTTTATACAAAGTCAGCTTATTGCCCTCACAATCCAGGGCCTCATTTTACCTAGCTTAGAAAGGATGGAAGGCGGAGTCAACCTGAGCCTGGTGAGATTTGAACTCGCAGTAATTGCAGGCAGCTGGCAGCTAAGTGCTACTTTAACAGTAGTTTAGTCCGCTGTGCCACCAAGGTTCCTTGGCTCCTTTATTCCTGTTCTTAAAGTTCCCAAAGTTCCTGCTTTACACAGTGACAGACTTTGGGTGTTTTGGATTGTCACTAGGAACAGTAGCTCCTAATTAAAAATTATACAGGGGATGTATCCTTATATAATGGTAGCATCAAAGGGAGCTTCAGCGTGAAAAGGAAGTTCAGCCAAACTTCTCCATCTTAGTGCATGAAGAATGCACCCCGGTTTTTCCGCTGGTTCTCTTGGTGGGGTTTTTTGTAGCCACTTGGGGGCGCTCTTCTACAAGTAATATTCCTAGATTGTAGTTGGGATAAAAAGTGGGAGGCTGCAGCTGCTGATCGATACCCTCTCGGAGGTGGAGGTTCCATGCAGAAGGAGTTTGGGGGGCTCTTTTCAGAGAAGCAGATGTCCCTGAGGCAGCTGCAGGGCAAAAGTGCAGAAGCCTCTGACTTGAAAGGAAACAGGTTGGCCCACAAAGGAGCTCCCGGACTCCGGATTCTGTGTTAACATCAACCACTCTGCTCTCCTCCTTTCCTTCCTTCCTTCCCTCCCTCCATCCCTCTCCTCCATCCTCCTTCAGGGTTTGTTTCCTTTCTTCCTTCCTCCCTTCCCTCTCTCCTTCCATTCTTCTCATTCCCATTCCCCCCTTCCTTCCTTTTTCCTTTCCTTTCCTTCCTTCCTTCCTTGCTTTCTTCCCTACCTTTCCTTTTCTCTCCTTCTTCCTCTTTCCTTCCTTCTCCCATGTCCTTCCTTCCTTCCTCCTGCTCTCTTCCTCTCTCTCCTTCAGTTCCTTCCTTCCTCTTGTTCTCTTCCTTTTCTCTCCTTCAATTCCTTCCTTCCTTGTCCCTTTCTCCTCCCTTCCTTCTCTCCCTTCCTCCTTCCTTCCTTCCTCCCTTCCTTCCTCCTGCTCTCTTCCTCTCTCTCCTTCAGTTCCTTCCTTCCTTTGTTCTCTTCCTTTTTCTCTCCTTCAATTCCTTCCTTCCTTGCCCCTTTCTCCTTCCTTCCTTCTCTCCCTCCCTCCCTCCTTCCTTCCTTCCTCCTGCTCTCTTCTTCTTTCTCCTTCAGTTCCCCCTCCTCCTCTTGTTCTCTTCCTTTTTTCTCTCCTTCAATTCCTTCCTTCCTTTGTCCCTTTCTCCTTCCTTCCTTCTCTCCTCCCCTCCTCCCTCCTTCCTTCCTTCCTCCCTTCCTTCCTTCCTTCCTTCCTTCCCATTTCCCTTCCCTTCCCTTCCCTCCCCTTCTTCCCTCCCTGGGACTCAGACTGTGGCCCAGCCAAACTCACCAGTTCCCGGTAAAGGGGGTTGAGGGTGACCACAGAGCGACGGCGCAGCGCTGTCCTTTGGTGACGGCCTTGACCCCGTGGGGATTCTCTCCGCCCGAGGAGAAGCTGACCATTCGCCCGCACTTGGGTCGGATGGAGGCCTGGAAGAAGGAGGGGAGGGAGGGAGGGAGGCACAGGGGTCGGGTGGGGGCCAAATGGAGCCACCGGCCTCTTCTTGCCTGTCAGGTACAGGTGGTCCTCGACTTACGACCATTAATTGAGCCCAAAATTTTGACAGTGGTTAAGAGAGTTTGGCCCCATTTCACGACCTTTCTTGCCACCGTCGTTAAGCGAATCACTGCTGTTAAGTTAGTAAGATGGTCATTAAGTGACTCTGGTTTCCCGTGGACTTTGCTCATCAGAAGGCCGCAAAGCGGAAATCACGTGTGACCCCAAGACACCACAACCGTCCTAAGTACACGCCAGTGCCCAGCCTCTGGATCTTGAAACGCCTGAACTGCAATGGTCGTAAGTGTGAAAAGCAGTCAGGAGGCGTTTTTTTTCAGTGCCACTGTGACTTTGAACGGTCGTTAAATGAACGTTTGTAAATCGAGGAGTATCTTACCTGTCCAGGTATCTACTCACCGTGACTGTCTTGGCATCCATTTCCGTGAAAATAAACTCCCCGCCTTCAAAGTCGCTGTTCATGTAGAGGAGAGCACTGCAAAAGGAGAGGAAGGACAGAAGAGGAAGGTGAGATAGAATAGAATAAAGTACAGTAGAATAGAGTAGAGTAGAGTAGAGTAGAGTAGAGTAGAGTAGAGTAGAGTAGAGT